TTCAAATAAGTATATGGATACAAAAACAAACAAAACCTGAGTAAATATTGAAATCTTAATTATAAACAAATAAAATCTCTCTTGCATTATAAAACATAATACTTTGAAAATATTTGTTACAAAATTTAACCGGAAATCCGCTAATCAAAATATCTTTTTTTTAGAAAATCAAACCTAAATAATTTTAAGAACATAAAACTATAACATAAAAATAATTTACATAATCTAAAAAAATTTCTGTTTGGGTTATAATTTTGGATTTAATAATATAAGCTGGTTTTTTGAATAAAAATTTAATATAAACTATTTTTTGGTGTAGCCTAAAAATATTTTATAAAAAGAAACCCTTGCAAATGCGCGGATCCAAAATCTAGTAGCTTTTTAATATATATTCATTGTGCGAACAGAAAACTTTAGCATCATCACTTTACTTCAATGTTTTGAATTTGGTAACTTATTTCATTAGAGCATTTTTAATATAGCAATTTTTTTTATCTCAAAATAAAATAATTGTAAAATAGAATAATATTTCTCTCCAATATATGATTCTATTTTTTTTATCTCAATTCTTTTTCTATTTTATTATTAATTATTAATTGATTTATAATTTCTTTAAATTTTATAAACTGATCTAATAATTTTTTTAAAGCATTCATAAATTACACTCTTCTTCAAATTTAATTCTTTAAACTTCAATGACTTCAATAACAACAGTTGAAAACCTTTTACAAATGATCCACACTTTTATCAATAAAGTTTTTGATAAAATTAATGAAAATACTATAGACATTACAAGAATTGCTATTATTTATATATGTTTAGGTAACAAATCAAGAAGTTAAATGCAAAGTTCTTATGTTATTCCAACTCATATAATTGGTGAATTATTGTTTTGATAATAAATCTTTAGTTACTACTAATATAAATACGACCGAATCCAATATTTATCTAGTCCTAATGTAATAACAACATATGTAGAGTTGGAATGTTGCAAAGTGGCGCTTCAATTAAAGTTTTCAAATTTAAAGAGGAAGATTAGATATGGATATCAAATCACAGCCGTTTATCCCGTGCTTGTCTGTTGAAGAGAATGAAAAAAATCTGATCTTCATTAAACTGCATTAGGATGATAATCTAGTTAATTAGCTTATAAATCCAACTTCGCGCTGTTTTGAACTTGAGGAGATACACCGTGTGTCGTCCATCCAAAAGATTACACAATACGACGCCGTAATGATGAACGATGTTTCCACTCGACAAGCGCCAAGCCAGTTAAAATCTCCCTTTTTGGAATTATCCTTTCTCTAACGCTCTCTCTCTCTCTCTCTCTCTCCCTCAACAAGTCAGTCTCCATTTCAAATTTCAAAAACCTCTCTCTCTCTCTCTTCGATAAGCATCTTATTCACAGTAATGGAGACGTCTTCGGCGATCTCGATCGGTACTTGTTTGAAAGAGCATCAGAAGATCTACAAAGAATGGTTCAACATCGCCGATTCAGGTTTCAGTGTTTTCTTTTCCCCCTTTTCAGTTTGATTTTCTAGTCTCGCGTAGTTATTATGTTCTGATTGTTTGTTTCGATTTTCTAAATTTCAGATGGAGACGGTCGTGTTTCTGGGAACGATGCTACAAAGTTCTTCGTGATGTCAAAGCTTTCTCGCCCGGAACTCAAACAGGTAAGTATTCAATCGAATCGACGATTTCGTGTTGATATGCTATTTGGTTTCAAAGATTTGATTTGCTGATTTCATGAATCCATCGAACGTTTTCTCTCAAACTTGTAATCAACATGAAGTGGATTTTGAAGTCTAGAATCTAGGGCTGATTGAAAATCAATTGCATTTTGTTTTAAAAGGTTTGGGCAGTCGCGGATTCGAAACGGCAAGGATTTCTCGGTTTGGCGGAGTTCATCACCGCGATGAAGGTAATGAATACATATCTTCTTAATGAAGCAATCGGAAAATTTCTGACTCATTTGACTAATTTTTTGCTCAGCTCGTCTCATTGGCTCAAGAGGGACATGAAATCACTTCGGAGATTTTGAAAGGCTCTGGTAAGTCAACAAAATTTGTAAATCCTTAAATGTAAAAATTAAGATGTTCTGATGAAAAGAGCTTGACGATCAAAGAGAGTGACGTCATCTGTTCTTGGATATAGCAATTGAGATGGATTTTGTTGTTAGATATTGGCTAATCTATATCCCTTTTTTTTATTATTATAGTTGACATGAAAAGTGTGGAACCTCCAATGTTGGAAGGACTTGAGAACGTTGTATCTGTAAGGGTCCTTCTTATCTGAATTTGTCTTTCAATCTTTACATGATTTGCATTTTCTAATCTAATAATCATCTTGAATTTTATAGTCACAGAAGCAGAAATCATCAAATCCATACGCTGATGTTGAAGAGAATGGTAAAACAACATTGTTCTTTCCTGCAATCTTTTCATTCATGACTGTTTCTGATCGTTGTGTAAAAGTTATTGATTTGCTGTCTAAACTTCGCAGTAGTTACTCAGCAACAAGTCACGGCGAAAGTTCCTTGGTTCAAATCAAAATCTATTATAAAGGTTGGACACTATTTACTTTGTTGCTGCAAATGTTAATCTTTCAAACATGGTGTTATATGATCTAACAAGTATTCTGCCATTTTTTTCATATCCAGCCACAGGTAAATGTGGTGACAATTGTTGATGGATTGAAAAAACTGTACGCTGAAAAGCTAAAGCCTTTGGAAGTCACATATCGTTTCAATGATTTTGCATCCCCAGTACTGGTGAGTGTTTTGTTTATTCCGTTTTTCGTTTAAGTTCAGAACTTATATCTATATTATGAAGGGAAATGAAACTCAGTTTGTTCTTTTGATGTATGTTATTTGTATATTTGCAGACTAATAGCGATTTTGATGCCAAACCTATGGTAATGCTTTTGGGTCAATATTCGACCGGAAAAACGACATTTATAAAACACTTGCTCGGATGTGAATATCCAGGTAACTTGCGCCGTTTCCTTCAACTCCTAGCTACACAGAGGAAATTTTAATTATGTATCTGATTTCACCATTGCCTCTTGTTATCAGGAGCTCACATTGGTCCAGAGCCAACAACTGATAGGTTTGTGGTTGCAATGGTATGTCGATGTGTCTTGATTTTATTGTAGTTGAATGATTGCTAGTTACGTTTTGTACTCATTGAATTGGAATCTTATGAGTTATGACTTCGTTTTCTTATAGAGTGGACCAGATGAGCGGACCATACCTGGAAATACCATGGCTGTTCAAGCTGACATGCCATTTAACGGGTTAACAAGTTTTGGAGGTGCTTTCTTATCAAAGTTCGAGTGTTCTCAGATGCCTCATCCGGTGAGTATTATTCACCTCCTTATTCTCTCTCTCTCTCATTTTGATCTTTCCTTCTGTTGGTTTATATGAGGTTCGTCTTCCTGCTTGTGTAGGTCTTGGACCAGATTACTATCGTAGACACACCTGGAGTTCTTTCAGGAGAGAAACAAAGGATGCAAAGAAGCTATGACTTCACTGGTGTCATCTCATGGTTTGCATCCAAATGCGATATGATTCTCCTTCTTTTTGATCCCCACAAGCTTGACATCAGCGATGAATTCAAGCGGGTTATAACATCTTTGCGTGGTAACGAGGACAAGATACGTGTTGTCTTAAACAAAGCTGACCAAGTTGATACTCAACAAGTAAACATCAGTTTTCCTTCCCCATTCATTTATTACATTCATAAGCTTTTAACTTTTTCACTCTTTGTTGTGCTGATTCCAAACTTTTGTTTAATAGCTAATGAGAGTATATGGAGCTTTGATGTGGTCGCTTGGTAAAGTTCTGAACACACCAGAGGTCGTACGGGTCTATGTTGGGTATGCTTTCGAATACAACATGAATCAGCTTAATTTGATTTTCATTAAGGTTACAAGCTAAATTGGTTTGCTCTCTTGCTTTAACTTGTACAGGTCCTTCAATGACAAGCCCATAAACGAAGGTGCAGTAGGACCGATAGGAAAAGAACTATTCGAGAAAGAGCAAAATGATCTCTTAGCAGATTTAATGGTTATACCAAAGAAAGCATGTGACAGAAAGGTAAATGATTCTGATGACTAACACAATTATCAAAAACTTGTCTGTACCAAAAAAAAAAAAAAATCTCTCTTCAGAATTTGGAAAATTGAAAAACAAACGTGGACATTTTGCAGATTAACGAGTTTGTGAAGCGAGCTAGAGCTGCAAAGATCAATGCATACATAATGGGCCACCTTAAGAAGGAAATGCCAGCAATGATGGGCAAAACCAAAGCTCAGCAACGTCTCATGGACAATCTCGATTTAGAATTCGCAAAGGTTAGTAACCTTTCAACATGTTTTTCAGTATTTGATTTTCGGTTATGAAAATCTTTATTCTAAGATTTTAATTTTGATTAACATGTGTGAAAAAAAAAACAGGTGCAACAAGAGTATCATCTTCCGGCTGGAGATTTCCCAAGTGTGGAGCATTTTAGAGAAGTGTTGGGAGGATATAACATTGACAAATTCGAGAAACTGAAGCCGAAGATGATTCAAGCTGTGGATGATATGCTCGGCTACGATATTCCAGATCTGCTGAAGAAATTCAGAAACCCCTATGATTAAAATCCATCTCGGATGCTTTTAAAAAAAGTTTATATGAAAATTTGAGAGTTTATGAATCTATAAAATATGTTGAAAAAAATATTCTAGTGAAATTGTATTTTCCTGAATTTTAATGTATTGATTTCCATTTTATCATCTTTGAGTCTTGTTGAGCCATCTAAAAAAAAAAATGTTTCAAATTTAGATGTTCATATCAATGATGTTTAACCTGTGTTGTATTTAAACGAGTTTTGTGAGTCTATATGCGATTAGTGCAGTATTGCTGTCAGTACAGTAAAAAACGAGACGACTGTGCAGTATAGCGGTTGGTACAGTAAAATCAATCAATACATTAACCTCAAATGATTTGTGCGTTAAACGCTCTTACTAAACGCTTCAAACGTTAACTTAGAGAGAGAGAGACGAGAAAAAAAAGAAGGAAAAATCTGTGGGAGAAGGAAAAGATAGAAGAAATGGAGAAGAAGGTACCGAGAAGATTGGAAGGAAAGGTAGCGATTGTGACGGCGTCGACGCAAGGGATTGGCTTCGGTATCATCGAGCGTCTCGGCCTCGAAGGCGCTTCCGTCGTCGTCTCTTCCCGCAAGCAGGTCTTTCTTTTCGTATTTCGGATTTTGATCTGTAGAATGAATTGAACATCTTTTCGCACTTCGTAGTGACGGATCTTTATAATTTTGCTTCTTTATGTAGCTTTTGTTATTAGGGATTTTTGTTTTGTTTGAATTTTTGCTGTAGCCGGAAGAATTATTTGACTTTCTGGATTTGATCTGTTGTATATATACCAACAACGCCTCGTTTCAGTTTTATTTACGAGAAATCGACGAAGAATCTGATTTTTTTTTGGTGCGTGTGCGTGTGTTTGGGTTTCGTATATGTAGCTGGTGAAGTGAATCATTCTAATTTCAGTTTTTTTTTTGAGGATTTATCTTCTCATCTTCGTAGATTTTTGCTGCCGTATTCTTGAATTGAAGTTTTAGAACCCGTGACTCTGTAAAGCTTGTTGCTTTGTGTAGCCATCTTCTTGACTAAGAGGCTGATTATTTGTGCAGGCAAATGTTGACGAAGCAGTAGAAAAACTCAAATCACAAGGGATTGATGCATACGGAATCGTCTGTCATGTTTCCAATGCTCAACAGCGCCGGAATCTTGTCGAAAAGACTGTTCAGGTAAAGAGAAGATCTATGAACAACTTTTGGTTCGACTCTTTAAATCTTACTGTAAAGACCGAACCTAGAAGCTGCTTCAAGCTCTCAGTTACACTACAATTGTCTTCTCTGTTTGGTTACAGAAATACGGGAAGATAGATATCATTGTCTGTAACGCTGCTGCGAATCCATCTACAGACCCAATCTTGTCCAGCAAAGAAGCTGTCCTCGACAAGCTTTGGGAAATCAATGTCAAATCATCTATACTTCTCCTTCAGGTAAAGCTCTCCTTCATATGAAACACTTAGTTTAAGTGTTAGGTTTGTCTTCACTGTGTTTCTTATTACCAGGATGTGGCTCCTCACCTAGAGAAGGGTTCTTCGGTTATCTTCATAACTTCCATTGCTGGATTTCAACCACAAGGATCCATGGCTATGTATGGAGTCACTAAAACTGCTCTTCTCGGACTAACTAAGGTACGTCATGTATAGTCTCCATCTCATGATTGAATGGTATCTATGATGATGATGAATGATGACACTGAACATCATGTGTCTCAGGCACTTGCTGCTGAGATGAGCCCGGACACACGTGTGAACGCGGTTGCTCCCGGTTTTGTGCCCACACACTTTGCTTCTTTCATCACCGGAAACTCCCAAGTGGTAAAATGTTACTAAGACTGAAACTGTTAGATTTTGGTTATGATTGTATCTCAAGTGATAGATTATTAACACTTGTTGTGTGCTTAGAGGGAAAGCATCGAAGAGAAGACTCTGCTTAACAGGCTTGGAACAACGGGAGACATGGCTGCTGCGGCGGCTTTCTTAGCATCAGATGATTCTTCTTACATCACCGGAGAAACTTTGGTCGTCGCCGGAGGAATGCCCTCAAGGCTCTAAACCAAAATTTCCCACCAAATAATAGCACTACGAGGGAAACAAAAAAAAAGTTTTCAACGAAATAAAATTTCAAGAAAGAAAGTAGTAATAAACTCAAGAGGGCCATTGAATGTTGGTCTTCTAAAAGATAATTTTTCTTCATTAGAAAAACTCGTTTGGTATACTATGTCAACTACAACATTTTGTTTACGATAGTTTACTAAAACAATAAGCAAATAATTGTATTTTCTTCAGATGACGATATCGTTATTACTTTCATACAAAAGATAGGATAACATATATAGCACCAAAATGAGAAAAATATTGCTAACATGTATAGCAGCAATAAATTTCAATTCGACATCTCTGGATATCGAAACCAAAAAAAGAGTTAAAAAGAGCTACTAAGCATTTCTTCGCCTCCCTTGTCTGATCGAAAGTGATCGAAAACTCGAATATGCATCAGACATGTCGACCTTGAGCAAAGCATCAGACATGGCATCTCTTAGATTCTTGTCATCAACAGCATCATAGAAACATCCACGTCTCTTCGAGTCCCTTATGAGCTTTCCCCAAATCGAACCACTCAGAGCCAGAGTTGTCTCGTTCCCAATCACCCATAAACAGTGTCTTGCACGAGTGAGTGCAACGTTGGCTCTTTGACGGTTACTAAGAAACCCTATTTTTCCATTACCGTTACTTCTCACGGTTGATATGATAATCACGTCTTCTTCTCCTCCTTGAAACCCATCAACAGACCGAACATTCAAAGTGAATAGCTCATCATCTGATACGGAACTGTACTTATCTCCAACTCTTTCTTGGATTGCTCTAATTTGACCTTTATAAGGTGAGATAACCCCAACGCTCATCTTCGCCTTTGTCTCACTAGACACTGTTTTAAAAACTAATATGTAAACGTTGATAATTGAATATATATTTGAGATCATTACAATATTACAATTACCTTTGAAAAGATTGGATATGATTTCAGAAACCACAGCAACTTCAACCATGTTCTTGGGACTATGTCCATCATCAAACTCCTCTTTCCCAAATCCCACGTTGATAAACGAGAAAGAACCAAACATGTTTCCATGAAGAAACCGTTTTTCATAGTTTCTTTCTTTAACATTCGCAGCATCAGAGATCTTCCCATTGTAAAACTCCATGTTGGGGAAACGACTTATCGAAGGATGCATACGGTACTGAACATTAAGCAAATGTTTCTTGTGTCCAATCAAAACCAATCTCTCAAACAAGCTTCTCCCAAATTTCGCTTTCTCACATACCTGCATGGATTGATCACAAGACTGTTTCAAACGCATGCAGTTTCCACGTTTGCATTCAAAAAATAAATTTTCATCTTTTTTTTGGATTTTTTTCAAGAACAAAAATATATAGAAGATCCTATTTCCCTTTGCGTTAGGCGATTCAATTTATAATACAATCAACTTAAAAGATTTTTGCATAAAATGTTTAAGGTATATTGAGAATGCAAACTTAGTCTCTATATTATTTTGTATAAGACAAAAGAGAATACCTCGCTTTGTACCATAGCTGGAAGCTGAAACTCATCTCCTATTAGAACAACATGACGCAAGCCCTGAAGTTGCAATGCAGCAACTGATTCACATTCTTTAAGCTGAGCAGCCTCGTCAACTACAAGTAGTTCTATGGATCCTGTCCTTTCCACGGTCATTTCTGCAGCACCCGAGGCAGTGCAGAAGATTATGTGTGCATTTTGCAGGCAATATCTCTTTCTATCCTCGTCTTGCAACAAGGTTGGGATCTCAAAACGTCTTGGAAGCAAACGTAGAGGCTGAAGGCAGTACAATACGAAGCTTTCAATCTTGAAATCATCTTTTGAAGAATTCTCGTTGAGGTAATATGTTGCATGACGAAGAGCTTCACGGGCTTTCATCATTTTCTTGAAATCATTAGATGATATCAAAGACTTAGGCAGATGCGTGCACAAATCCACCATATGGTCCATAATATGGTCCATTACTTTCTCGAAACCTTCACTTAAGCTATCAAACTTTTCTTTTATAAACTCTCCAAATGTAAGAATCTTTTCTTTCCTCTTACCTTCTTCTTTCTTGTGATCCAAGTCTTCACTAGATCCACAAAACATTTTCTTTACGAACTCTCCAAACGATGTAAGAATACTTTTACTGTTTCCATCTTCTTTTCTCTCCCTCTTTTGGCTTAACAAGAGATGTCTCTTGTAATTAGACTCCGACTTCTCAAGAAAGTCTATGAATGACGTCAAACTCAGTTCCCATCCAGACAATGAAGATAACAGTTCACTCAATATACTCATGCGATGATCAAGAAACACATCTAGAAGATGGCCATTCTTGGAATCTATCCCCATTCTGACTCGGTTTCCGGCTAAAACAATGTTCCTAAGCCCGTAAGTAGAATGTTCTGATGAAGAAGATTCCTTACACAACGCCAAGAGCCTCGATGCAACTTCTACCACAGCTGTGTTTGTTGGAGCGCACACAACTGTTTTGCAACGTAGCTTGAGAAGGGCAAAGAGAAGAGTAGCTACTGTCTTTGTTTTGCCAGTACCAGGTGGCCCCCATATCAGTCTCACACTTGTTTTGCCACAATCATTCCTTGTCTCCAAGCAACTCAAGATTGCAGATTCTTGAGAAGAGTTCAAGTTCGCCGAATGTATCATATCCGTTACATCATTTCCCCAATTCCTAGAAGAAGAAACAGAGTGCTCTGTATCCTGAAAATACAAGAATAACCACATTTACTCCACATTGTGCCTAGAGTTTTGGGGCCTTAGGCGAATAAAAGTATATGAAACGTTTTACTATTTTTTTTACATAGTATATTTAGCATAATGTTATAGACAATTAACGATAATTTCTAAATCTACGAAGTAGAGTCTTGGAGTCTTGAACTAGCACTAAAAACACATATGTTTCCAATTAATATACCAAAACAAAACTTGGGGGAACCCAAAAGTACTATAGACAAATGTTCTTTTTATTACATACCGTGGTATTAGACTGAAGGACGCTCTTGATGAGACTCATGTTTGCATTACCGTTCTGCAACGCTTTCCAGATACGAGTATTTGTGGTTAAAGTCATTAGAAAAACACCGGAGCGGAATTTAGATCTCTCTTCAATGAATATTGATTTAGACAAGTGAACAGAGAAATTTAGCTCATCTTCAACAGAGAATACATAAGCAAGAACCAGTGGGCTCAAGTCATCAACGCTTCTTGGCCTTCCTGCTTCTGTGAGAGCAATGAGATCTCCACATTTCGGCTCGTAGTTTGCTCTATATCCTTTTGTCATCACTACATTGAAACTGTTTGATGTTCTTCTGCTCGGTAATACTATTGTCCTTGTCTCCATGGAACGTATGTATAAGACAGGAGATTTTGACAAAGATTCCAAGCTTGAGAACAACTCGGTTCGTGTTTCCTCTAGCAGATGAGGAACAAAGCACTTTAGGTATTCGTCAACGGAGCTAAACTTGTCTGGTATCGTCTTCATCTCTTCCTTGAAGATGTCTTTGTTGAGAATATACTCGATTGACCAAGAGAAGACTTGATTGATCAGACTTACCTTCTTTTCCTTCTCCATGTTACAGAATCTTTCTGCAACATAATAACAAAGAAAAAACGTTATTTATGTTCGTATTTCATTGCAGGTTATAGCCACATAGAGATCTAACTTGGCTTACAAGGCAAACGCAATAGAATGATACGTAGGAAGCAATTATACAAAAGCACTGATGAAGAAGAATCAACAAAACGAGTCGAAGACGAAGAAAATTAAGAACTATCAGTTTGGTCTACTACTTAAAGGAAGACGAAGGGGAAGTGTTTGGAAAGTGCATTAGTTCCAAATCAAAGAAATGAATAAAAAAATGTTTATTTAATGTTATGTGTTGTCTTGTAAGTGTAGTTACAGGTGTAAAACTTAGAGAATGTTTGTCTCTCTACGTGTTTAGTTATTAGTATCTCTAAATTATCATATAAGTATGTGTTAAATATGTACTTTTGGTGTGTGCATGTGAAAATAACAAAATATCAAGTTTAACCTACTTCACGAAGCGTCAAACAGAATTGGGAAGTGATTTGTGATTTCAACAACTTCCAAAAAAAAATTATTGTCAATAAATTTTAGTATATATAGACGGGCAGGAATGTGAAGCGACGATGGCACTTTGCATGCATGAGACTAGAATTTAGGCATTTTATATTATTTATTTGTTTTTATTTTTTCGAAATAGCTATTACTAGTATTTTTGGTTTACGAAAAATTATTTCAATAAAAGAAAGAAAGCTCGGGAACTTGGAAAACAAAGCATTCATGGTGTGGACACCGTTTGCCTGCTTCTAGTCGTCATAATGATCATGATTATACTATAAATCTAGATTAATGGTGATGATTATTCTATTGCATCCACACACGCCATCGGTAATAAGTTATACTATTAGGCATAAGAGTATGCCCTTCTCGTGATTCAAAGAAAATTATGGTTTAGAAACAACAATATATCACAAAAATAAGTTAACAGGTAAACATGTTAAGATCATTTAAGAAAATCAGATACCTACCTGACTATGACAATAAAGAGCTTCATATATCATGCTAATTAACACAATAGATTTTCTAGTAAACGTCTTATGAAGCTTGGATGAGTAGCACTTACCTTTTGCCCACTTACATGTTTGACACAACACAACGCATATGGAGTGAATTTTCTTATACTCAAGCATAATCAAAATGTTAAGCTAAAATATTAATAGATAATAAGCTTTAATACCAAACCTTGATATGATGAAGAAGAAAAAAGATTCACATAAATATTCCCTTTCTAATGTGATGTGAAGAAGTTGAGAAAAGGATAAAATCTTTTGCTTTTCTCAGCTTCGCTTTACCAACTCATATTTGGCTCTTAAAACACAAAATCAAGCTTAATGAAAACTCTTTTTTATCATATATGTTAATCAAAGCTCATCGTGGCTTTGTCCTTCTTTGGCAGGTTCAGATTCAGAAGAATTGGAGTCTCAGGTTTTTGATTGTTCTTTCTCCTTCGTTGTGTTCTCCTTCTTGATTGCTTTCTCTATCTTTGGCTTTGGCTTTGGAATCCTATTGAGACCTTCGACGGTGCGGCTAATTTTTCAAAGAATAAATACTCTAAATTTTGTAAATGAAATGATACTAATTTACATTTGAAGGTTTTAATGTACAACAATACATAACCCCATGGCCCATCATAAGAGGCAAAAACTATTATGATGACCGTAAATGGTTTCCTCTCACATCCCTCTCTCTCTGTTTCATAAGTCTTAGGGCCTAACTCTTGCTATACATATATGATATATAGAATATAATATATAATAGAGAAGCAAAACATACACGCATACGTAATGTTATGTACGTGTTTCAGACAGGAACAACATCTGCATCCTGATTCTCGTCACAGGTAATAATAAGACCTTCCACGTAAGCTGGGAGAAGGCAACGCCACCATTTGCAGCCAGTGGCGACTGGTTCTGCAGGAGGAACGATCATCAGAACGTTGTCGTGTCGCCTCACCATTCCCATCACGCTTACGGTGCTCCCTTCTTTTATATATCTGATCAACCAAATTCAGCAATAATAACTGAAATACATGAATCTGTGTGTGCATGTTAAGATATGTGACACAGAGAGAGAGAGAGACCAACACTTTTTTGGTTCTTTGAAAGGTAATAAAGCAATAGAAACATCTGATAAAGCTAATTACTTTTGACAATGTTTCTGTTCTGAGAAGGGTTACAAAAAAGCCACCAAAAAGATTATTCCTTTGAACAAAAGCTATTTACTTTGACAATCTTATTTTGGTTCTGAGAAGGGTTTAAAGCACTAAAAAGATTCTTCCTTTGAACAAAACCCATTTACTTTCACAGTCTTTTCTGATATGTGAAGTGTTTAAAGCACCAAAAGACCCTTCCTTTGAAACTTTATACTAAACTTTGATTCTCACTGACTTGTATGCACTTTAAAAGTCAACGGTTGGATTGTTCCATTTTGCCATTCTTTTCAAAGTTTTTCAAAAGGTCATAATTTAGGTAAAGTTTCAAGTTTTAATTAGGTGAAAATCACACTTCTTTTAAGTAACTATATGGGTCTTGTTTCTATCAAAGGATAGAAGATTGTGTAGCAGAAATGAAATCAAAGATGCATATGTAAGATAATGAACATACGTACCCTTCATCGAGACGCATAGCACGACTATCATTGGAAAGGTTTCGATCAGCCAACCATTGTAGAAAGCTTGGAGACAAATCTTTAGTCTTTGAGGTCACATTAGCTACTGTCGAAGGTATCACAAACGGAGAAACTTTTGATCCATAACCTGCTTTCACAACTGCTCGTAAACCAGATTGAAAATCCGATATGTAAAAATCCGTAACGTATCTCTGCCACACATAAACAAACAATGATCAACAAAAGATGATTCAGATGAAACACTTTGAGGAAAAAAAAAACAAGAATCTAATTCTAAACCTCGGTATGTCTTGATCCCCATGAAAAGCATTTTTGATTCGAGTACTCATACAATTCAGTCGATACATAAACACATCTTGGTATCTTTTGGTATGAAGACTCAAGCGGAGTACTTCCACATGTTACAACCTGCAAACAAAACGGTTAAAAAAACGTCTTTTGATGCATATAACAAACATTGGTCACGCAAAGATCAGATTTTTCAACCAGATTATACACATTTTGAAAGTATTACTACTAATTTATTGTCTTTAGCTAAATTAGTCTCACTAAACTAAAACCAAAGATCACTAAAACAGGGCAATGAATATGACATACCAACTCATCCGCTGTTTAACTAATTTACTTTCATCAGATTATCGATTAGCTAACCTAAGACGAAACATGGTAGCACAAAAATCAAGTCTTTTACCATAATTAGCAAAAAAAATTAAGCCTTTTTTACTATAATTAGAAGTTGAAGACTGAAGATAAACTTACTCCTGTGACCTTGATGAACTGTCCATCAATGGCGCCTCTAAGCACAGCATTTGGATGATTCTTGATGAAACCCAACAACCCTCTTCTTCTCCAGATACAATTCCACACGAAAACCACGGCGGCCGGAGAAATCGCCGCCGCAATGACCACAATAACCAGTGGCTTCTTCACCGCAACAGATAAAAACGCCCCGATTAGTAACGCAATCGCTGCAACTACGATCACTGCCCAAATCAGAGCCTTTGGTACTTTAAACCCGACCCGAACCGGATCCGTATTCAGAATCGTCACCGCGGATCCGTATTTGGGTTTGCTCGACTTCAAATTACTCGATTGATGATGAAGCTGATGATCCATCGGACCTGATCTCCTTGACCCGGATCCGATTGGACCAGAGGAATTGAGCGGACCGGAGGTGATTAAACCGGTTGGTTGAAGCTGAGAGAGAGGACCTGAGGATTTTCTAATTGGACCCGACTGGGATCCGGATCGAACGGGTCCGCTGTTGGGATTCGAAGACGAACCTAAGGAGGGGATACGTGTCGGTGGCGGTCTGACGAAATTTGACGGAGGTCCTTCAGCGACGGAGATGTCGAACATCCTTCCGAGCTCGCCGGAATTCTTGATATCGCCTCCGGTGTAAGGCACAGCACGAGCCGCCATTGTCGGTGGCCGTTGTTCCTTGGGTTGCTCGAGTTTACCTGAAACGTAGAGTCCGCTTGGTAGCTGATGGGATTGTAATCGACCCGCCATTTTTTTTAGAGAGAGAAAGAGAAATGCGGAGAATTTGTACTTTCTCTCTCTATCTTCTGGGTGTGATTTGGAAGAGAGAAATGTGCAGAGTTAAGTGTTGAGTGGCAGTGAAGATGGAAGAGAAGAAAGGAGAACGATGGAATTGTAAATGACCGTTTTAGCCCGGAATATTAATACTTTGATGACGTAATGTTTTTTTTTTAATTAATAAAACAAAACGTCGACGAAGAGGTTTCTTTGATTGGTTCGAGTACCACATAAGCCCCACATTTTCGTTAGTGGGTTAGTTTTTATTTTTATGTCCCCTAGTTTATAGATTATTCCAAATTAGCCCCGTTATATTAATTACTCTTTGAAAACTGCATCTCAAGTATTCACATACTTAAATATCCTTCAAGAAATGGTGTTCCATCATAATTTTTTTTTATGTTTTCAACTATTAGTTTTCAGATAGGTTATATATATTCCTTCTGCTTTTTAAAGTATAATATTTTAGTTTTTTTTTTAGTTTTTTAAAGTGTGATGTTTTAGATTTTATAATATACTAAATTAGAATCTGTGTATATGCACACTTATGATAATTAAATTTTATTTTTATTAAAATATTTTTTAAATAGAAAATAAAATCAAAACACTCATAAAAATATATTAAAAATATAAAATTAAAATCTAAAATTTATTTATTTTAATCTTCAATTTATTTTAATTAAAATATTTAAAACACAGATTTTTTTCCAGGTCTTAAGCAATATTAATCTTACTTTTCTTGTAATTTAATATTTTATCAATTAATTTTTTGTTTTGCTCCTTTAATACTTAGATATGCAATTTAAAATTTCGAATATGTTAACTTCTTTCTTATTAACTATTTCTAAGAAGATAATATTTTCTCTTTTTTTTCTCATTTATCATTCTGCTTTAAGAAAATTATGTTTTCAAAATTTGTCAAGAATTTTTCACTTGCCATGTATCATAATCATATGAATCATTAACTATAACGTATCCAACTTTATATATTAATTTATTTAATTTTACAAAAAAAATTATACTAATCAAAAAGAACGAATCAGTGTTAATATATAAGTAGAAAACAAAAAAATAAGTTAAAAAATAATAATAATAATTGTAAAAATATGTAAATAACTAAAATATTATATTCTTAAAAAATAGAGAGAATATATATATATATATATATATATTACACAAATTCCGATAGAATCACTATAATGTGATTAATTTCCATCTCGTCAATATCCTAAAAAATGGTCCTAAACATGATATTTCGATTAGTGTTATTATGGCACTTGTGAGTATTTTGAAAATGATTTGACATATAATAATCTTAGCATCCACATAACAACTAGTATGCCTACAACAAGATTATACTCTGACTGTTTGACATCAAGTGAAGGAGAGACTCAAATTTATCATAGAATGCACATTCCATGATGATGAATTGATGATTATATAAAGGGATTTTATATGTATATTAGATCATCCAAACAAACTCGAGGAATAAAGTAAAGAAGATTTTATATATATGTTAGTCTAACAAAAGTTAAACATATATATAAAGAAATTTCAACAAAAGAAAGATAAAATCTCTCATTTTGGGGTTTTTGAAGACAAAAAAAAAAAAAAAATTGTGTTGATATATAATAACATTAAAAAAATATATTTTGTTGTTTTACAAATTCAACATGTCAACTTCAAACATGTGTGCTAGTGTGACGATGTTACAAACACCATATACGATATAAATTGTTTTATAAAAGCCATGGTGCGCCCACATTAAAGAAAAAGTTGTGGGTATGATGTACTACTAACTAACCAAGGAAGAGTTAAAGAAGAGCATGCAAATTCAATTTCAAATCTTCAATTCCCCCCTCACATTTCACATTCATGATTCATATGCCCACTCCATTATTTATCATGGGGTTGACAGATCCAACTTCTCACACAAATTTCATTATCTCCTCCACCACACAATCTTTTTTACTGTAACGATTTATGAATGAAGTTTACTTGTTTTTGTTTTCGCTAACTTTTTTTTTTTATAATTTAGTAAATTCAACTATAAAGTCTAAATATACTTTTTATGCGTATATCACACGAATCCCAATATAGTAATAAATTTTATGTAATCGTTGGTATCATGTTTCTCAGTATTTACTGATAACTAAAAAGAATTTGGTCAAAAAAAAAGAGATAACTTAAAAGAATATACTTTTGGCTTTAGACTTTTCTAAAGAAATTATTCTGTTAATACATGTTGGAATAGTTAATTAATAGAAGTCTAGGGAATAAGTTTGTTTGACTCTCTGCAATGCATATAGAGAAATATTGAGCAAGTTTCAGAGAAAATCGATGGCAACGTCGAAGCTTCAAGCTCTATGGAATCATCCAGCAGGACCTAAGACAAGTGAGTTTATTTGATCACCCAAGTTTCCGACTTCTTGGGAGATTCCTTAACATTTCTTGCTTAGTTCCGGTTGATTTTGCCTTTATAACCAGTTTCCGAATTCGAAATAAAGTCTCTCTACATCATCAACTCTAATCTTTTGAATCTAAGGATGTATTTGATATGTTGCTACGAACTTTGACTATGTAGCTCTTTTCTCAAGTACCCTGAGTTTTATTTTGATTCTATTTCAATATTCACTGTAATGGATTCTAATTGTAATCAACTCGAAATTGTTAAAAGTCGTTTTTTTTTGTTGTAAAATTTCAGTCCATTTCTGGGCACCAACGTTCAAGTGGGGAATAAGCATTGCTAACATTGCAGACTTTGAGAAACCTCCAGAGACACTTTCATACCCTCAACAAATGGGTATTCTTCTTAATACCCTTTTCATTGCTATAACTTTGCTTTGCTTCTTCTTGTTGATCTTCTTACAGTTTTCTTCTCTGTTTATATGATATCCCCTGTTTCGTTTTCATTTTGTCGCCATGACAGTGATCACAGGGACTGGACTCATCTGGTCACGTTACAGCACTGTAATTACACCGGTACGTCTGGTTTACTACTCCTGATGATAAACTTTACAGTTTAGGATTTGAGTAAAAAGAGATTGACTAGTTTGTATACTTTGTCTTTCAGAAAAACTGGAACCTCTTTAGCGTCAGTCTTGCTATGGCAGCGACAGGCATATACCAACTTACTCGTAAAATCAAGTAAGAGAACATTCGATTTCCTCTTTAAACTTCATGAGACAATCATCAACGTGCGTTAACATTGATATGCTTCACTCTTTTGGGTTACAGGCACGATTATGCATCATCTGAAGCAGAACCAGTTGTTGCAAAAGAATTATGAAGATGAAGTCTTTGGTGAAAAAAATTCTCATTGAATACCCAAATACTCGTTCAATACCCCCAAATACTATCATTCTGTTTGCAATTTGTAAACATATGTATTTATAATACATGTACATTATGTGACTCATACTTAATCTAAGGTTAAACCCTGTAAATTGCATCAACTCAAAGAAGGGACAATTTGACACAAACTAGAGTCTTGAGAGACTCAAAAGAGTTGTTTCAAGAGGCCAGACTCGTCTTGTTTCTCTCCAGAAGACTGGTTCAAACGTAAAACCAGAAGCTACTTCAAAGTGTTGTTGAGTTCTTTCAGAAAGTACCTAACAAGTTTCAGTTCCTGTCGCCTTCTTCCGTGATCAAGCTTTCAATTTCAACGGGTTGTCACCAAACAACAAAGGTACGAACTTCAGACTGACACAAACGAGCTTTTCGAGAGCTTCTTGAGTGATGTCGCGTTGTCTAGAAAGTACCTTATCAGTTTCTCTTCCGTTGCTTCCTCAGTGATCACAGGGCTTTCAATTTCAACATATTCAAGAGACGATACCAAACAAAAAGAAAGCACATTCGAAATACTAGTTACAACTGCCTCTGGTTCATCATCATTCACGAGTTCCTGCAAAAAAAACACAAACCAGAGAAATCTAATCAGCAGATCAACAAGAAACCTTTTCAAGTAGATCAAAGTTTAAAGTCATTACCAAACTCAAATGTTTCAGATTCGGGCAGCTCTCAAGAACAATAGGCAATACTTCTAGTGAGGCGTTCAAGGACATAATAACACGCAGACGGGTCAAGTCATAAAATTTTGGTAGTGGGTTCATGTGTTGGAGACCATAGATTAACTACAAACAAACAAAGAAGAACAAGTCATGAGAGAAGAAACCAAATGTTAATGAGGGAAAAAAGCTTAGACCTTTAATATATATACCTTAAGAGTTTGCCATGAGATGGTCATATCACCAACATCTAAAAAATTGTTGAGAAGATCATAAATGATGTTTCTTTCCGCTAAATCATGATTCGTCAGCTCAAAGTCGACATCGATATCGACCTTGACAGAGTCACTCATACCGATTATCTTGAAGCTTTTGAATTGGTTATCAATGAGAGTCAGATACTCGAGCCTCGGAGTATCAAGAACCCAAGAGCAAGAAGCGTCGCTGGGGAAGACAACATCTTCCAAGTACATAATCTTGAGACAGGGCAAGTAAAGAGACTCGAAATCATTCAGCCTAACGGAGTAAAGACTCAAGCATACCAATGCCTCGCACACAGGAAGCGTTAAAGGTATCTCAGTGTCACGATAGCTCTCGATCTTGAAACGTCGAACCTTGCGGTCGATCAATTTAACGAGACACAGCTCGTAGAGAGAGGCGTCTCCTTCAGAGTCGTCGATGCATAGTTTGAACTCACGCAAGAACGATTCGCTCTGGAAAGTCAGAAACTTTCCGATGAAGTCGACGCAAGATTCGTCATTTGTGAAACCGGAGCTCTCTAGCTCTAACCTCGGAACCCATTTCCAGAGATTTCTCCATCTTGAGGACAGAACACTTGTGCAAACAGCTTCCTGAGTTGTGAGATAGCTAAGTATGTGACATAGCAATGATTCAGGTAACAAGCTTATCCTATCTTCTTCTTCTTCCCCTCCTCTGCTAATTCCTACATCATCCTCTTCGACTAAACTAGACAAGAGTGACGAATCTTGCCCCGTAGGTTCAAGGCTACTTGGGAGAGATTTAATCTTGTCGGAGAGACGTAGGGACATGCGCCTTGATAAGAGACCTAACTTGAGATTCAAAATAGAAAATCGATGGAATCAGAAACCCTAAATTTTTCGTATTCAAGGGCAATTTCTCGTTTTTTTCAAACTGTAACCAAATATGCACAATTAATCCCAATTCGAGTTTAAAGTTCGGAAATTTAGGTTACAATCGAAGCGGAATTGAGAAACAAAAGTATGAAATTTCCGGTGATCAAAGCCTCACAGGAGCGCCAAATACGAAAATGAAAGAAGAGAGTAATTCAAAATTGACTCACTTTGTCTTAGGACTCGCTGGGTGAGCTTGAACCTCTTCACTTGTCTTCTGAAAGTTTCTCAAATTTTCTCTGAGCAAGTCGTCGTCTCTCTCTGTACATTGCCAAGTCAAACGATATCGCTAGAGCAGACATTTGAGGAAAAAAATTTAATTAATTAAATAACTATTGCGACACTTTCAAGTATATATATTATATATTAGCAGAATAATTTTAAAAATCAACTCTTATTTTGTGTGTGCGAAACTACCATATACAAACAAATAAAAGATACTAGTATGCAAATGGAAAACGGAAATTACCAAATTTCGAAATAGTGAAACAAAATAATATAATAAATAATAAGATTTTCTCTGAAAGTTCCTCATGAATTCTCTAAACATTTGCCAGTTATACAAGATATTCCCACATTTAACCAAAACATTAGAAGCCGATTCGAATATTAGAATGTCCAAGTCTAGTTTCTGCCAATTAGAAGTAAGCAAATACAGGAGTGATTACAGAGCTGCAACGACACACCATATCATTCCATTTCCACTACATGTCACCGCAGATACAAACAATTGGATAAAACTAGAAAACCTTGTAATAAGAAATTTTCAGATATAATATATACAGTATATGCAAGAAACAACAACAAATAAGATTAGTAATTTAATGTTTAGATACCAATTTGTTAAAGGCATGAAATATTCTCTGGAGATTATTGAAAATCTGCAATGTTGGGAAAAATGAATACACAAGAGTGAGATATCATATAGAAACTTACATGTATTAGAGCAACTATAATTTTTTTTAGTCGTCTGAAACAATTTATCTATTCTATGAAGTCCACATCAGATTTGTAACACACTACAAATAGTTTTACTTGCACTATTCTAAATTTTTTATTTAGAGCATCTACATTGCAAGTCTCTCATTTAGTCTCTCAACAATAATATAATAATAATGAACAATAAATCATGATATTTTATTGGAGGAATTGCTGAATATGATTCAAAACTTGAGTTGAAATGCAAAATTAGACTCTTTATTATATGTTTGACAAAAATAACTCACAGGGGTAGTAAAATTACAACATTAACCCTTCTGACCAAACAAAAAAACGCCCGCTGCAATTACTGTTTTATCTCCGAGAAGTCTATTCGAGCTCGAGTAGACTTCTCGGGAGGAAGTCTACTCTATAATAATTTGTTTACAATTAATTTTAAAAATCATGAAAAAAAAATTGGTAAAATTTTTTTCAAAATAACAAAACATATACTTTTTACACCTATTACAAATAAAATTTGACACAAAATAATCAATTTAAATCATCAGAGATAAATTAAGTTAGAAATCAATACTAAGTAGACTTCTCGGATTCTAAAGTAGACTTCTCACGAGTAGACTTCTTGGAGAAGTTTACTTTTTTATAATTTCTTTATCATTAATTTTAAAAATCATGAAAAATAATTTGGTAAAAACATTATATACACAAATAAAACAGATACATTTAGCATCTATATAAAAAAAATCATGAAAATGAATCAATTTATAAGTTTCATAAGTATACAAATCAAAAGGATTAGGGTTGAGGTTTAGGGTTTAGGGTATAATAGTGTAATTCTTAGGGTTTACACAAATTCTATATGAATCATAGTTTATGGTTCAGTTAATGAATCATGGTTCATATATTTGTTATTTTAACTATGACTTGTCAATATGGTAAATAAATTAATGTTTTCATATAAGTTTTAATTAAAAAAATTTGATTTAGGGTTTAGGGTTAAGTAGACTTCTCGGACCAAAGTAGACTTCTCTCGAGTAGACGTCTCAGACCAAAGTAGACTTCTATCGAGTAGACTTCTCTTACCGAATTAGAATCAAAAGTAGACTTCTTTGACAGGTTATGTCCGAGTAAAATAAAAACACTCCGACTGAACCGAATAATCTTACTAACCCATTTTTAACCGGCCTATATATTCATTTTTACCAGAAAGTAACTCATTCCATAAACCCTAGTTTCTCTCGACTCGTAACAAGCGTTTGGGCAATTTTTTCGCTATTTCTGTTGCCGTTCCTACCGTCGTCGCCGCCGCTGCTTCAACTCGTCACCACCGTTTGTAAATTGTCAACGAAGGTAGTCTCTGTTCTCCTCTCTCAGATCTCTCACTTCTGTATATCTCTTTATCTGTATATAAACCTTAATCGACTTCGTTCATCTCTTTTCATCACCGCCTCTGTTGCCTTGTCGCCTCGTCGCCTCGTTACTGCTGGTAATTCTGTCCTCATTTCTCTTTGTTAGGCATCTGTTAGATTCAATTTTTTGCCCTAGATATCATCATCGCCGCTAATTTGGAAATTTTTTGTTTGGATTTACAGATGTCGACGATCCTGTTGGTTGTCTCCGCCGGATTTCAGTGTTCGCAAAAGTAATTTATATAACTAGTGATTTATTTTAGAATTCGTATCAGTAGATTTCTCTAGAGTAGACTTCTCTTTCGAGTAGACTTTGCTTTCGAGTAGACTTCTCTTTCGAGTAGACTTCGCTTTCGAGTAGACTTCTTCTTGAGTAGACTTCTCTTTCGAGTAAACTTCTCTAAGTAGACTTCTTCTCGAGTAGACTTCTCGGAGAAAAGTAGACTTCTTTCTGAACTAGACTTTTGCCATTTGCTAATAATTATATATTTCTTGCATATTTATGTCATCTTTAGTTTTGCAGGATGGAGAAGCAGCCCAAGTTTCCAAGAAGATTATTCACAAAGGACGAGGAGCCCCAACCTGGGAAAAGTATAGCCTACTACAGCAACAATAGGAAGCTGTTTCCTGCATTGGAAGCAGTACTGGAAGCAGATATATGGGAAGAGCTTTTGGAATCAAGGCTTGGTGTTTTTCTAAAGTTTTACAAACTGAATTTTGGCTGGGCGTCGAGGGTGGTGCAGTTTATACTCGGTTTTTAGCTGGACTGCAAGAAGAAGTATGAGATATGGAGTCTCATAAATGCAACCCCACTGCGGTTTTCACTCAATGAGTTTGAACAACTCACTGGTCTCAACTGTGAGGAAGCAGAAGTTACTCCTGAGATGAAATGCTTTTGGGAGAAGCTTGGCGTTAGTATAGATGCTGGCCCCACCGTTGATGAACTTACTGAAGCATGTAAGCGTGCTGGAGAGTGGACAAGGGATGAGAAGCTTAGGTTAGGATATTTATCCATCTTCGCTGGATTTATCGAGGCAAGGAAGATGGATTCACCCACACGGTTGAACTATGCCAAGCTAGTCATGGATGTTGAGGCATTTGCAAATTACCTGTGGGGAAGAGTGGCTTTCAAGACCCTCATAGAGTCTGCCAAAAGAGCTGATTTGACGAAGACTGTTATTCTTTATGGGTTAGCCGAAGTGCTCCAAGTTTGGGCGTGTTATGCTATGCCAGATTTTGGGAGGCATTACGGAAATCCCCTTCCCGACAACCCAACTCCACCGGTGCTGGCTTTCAACGGTTGCCGAGGACGAAAATACATCAAAGAAGCTATGCTGAAACAGGTAATCTCAAACTATATTTGCGTCTCGAGTAGACTTTTCCTCGTCTCGAGTAGACTTTGTTGGGGTCGGTTTTCACCCTAGCGAGATCAACGGAAAAATGGCTAAGTATAGAAGTGATTCTTGGTGATGCCCAGACTGTGCACGGGAGAAGCCGGTCACCTCGCCCAAACCATGCACGGGCGAGGTGAACCGTGCAAAAGCCGGGCGAAGCCAATCACCTCGCCCAAACTGTGCACGGGCGAAATGAACCGTGCAAAAGCCGGGCGAAGCCAATCACCTCGCCCAAACCGTGCACGGACGAGGTAAACCGTGCAAAAGCCGGGCGAAGCCAATCACCTCGCTCAAACCGTACATGGACGAGGTGAACCGTGTAAAAGCCGGCCGAGGTGAACCGTGCAAAAGCCGGGCGAAGCCAATCAACTCGCCCAAACCATGCACGAGTGAAGAAAACTTCGAATCAAGCCCAAAGGCAAAGGCCCACGAAGCAATAAGGCGAAGCCCCTAGTCAAGC